ATGCCATGCCATGACTACCTAGTTTCCGATATGCATTATTTTGGATGTAGTTCATATTCTCCATATGATGTTTCCACTATTGCTCATGAGGAGACCCCCATAGTTTCCTCATACATGTTAGGAGATTTTGATTCATCCTATCCATTGCATGATCCCTCTACTTGTGTGCACCATATGCTCCCCATGAATGACAATGATGTTGATGTGCCATATACTTGCATTCTCAATTTGTGTCCTCATCGTGTCATACATAATAACTATTCTTTCACGGTGGATGACATGTTCTTATATCACGCATCAAATTTCTTTGAGCGATGCTTATCTTGTGCTAACTCACACATGCACATACACATCATGATGGATGATGTGTACATTTACCACGAACACAATTTCTTTGGTTTGTGTCTCCTTTGTGTAGGTACACATGAATACTTGTCAACTTCGCAATCCCACGAGTTGACAAAAAGAGCTCTAGAGAGCAATGATGACTTGGGATCCCATGGATTGCCTTTCCCACCGCTCTCTTCACGCAAAGACTTCGCGCATTTCTTCTACATGGCTCTCACATGGTTATGGGTTATCGTCCTTTACATATTATACGCCCATCTTGCCATGTTCACTTTGCATGATATGCTCATTCGTATGCCTTTGCCATGCATTTGTGACCCATGCTTTGCATTACACATGATGATTGATTCTACTACTTGTATGTGTATTTGCAAACTTGGTGGAGATATTGCTTGTTATTGCCATGTTTGCTGTGTGCCCCATGCCTACGATGATACTATGATCTTGCTTTGTGTTCGTGCTCGCAATATGTCATGTGCATTACCTATGTCTATTATGTTCTCACATGACACGATTGCCATGACTTCCTCTAGTGTGTTGCATCTTCGCTCCACTAGTTTGCACGACTTGATTGCTATGCTTTCGCATGTTGCATCCAATTCTTGGATTACTTGCCCCTCTCATATGTTTGGTTGCGACAATGTCATTACTTCACATATGCCATGTACCATTGCTTGTCACTTGCTTCACTTGCTTGCCTCACACATGTTGAACAATTGCTATATCACTTGTGTTGAGTGCCACACTTTCTTCACCACACCATATGCATATTATGCTTGGGTTGTCTTGCACTTGCCCCATGTGTTTAGACATTTCATTTCTTTTGGTGATGTGAATGACTCTTATGCCTACCATAGACCATTTGTCGAGCGCTTTATGCATGTTTGCTATGATCTTGAGGTCGATGCTCGCTATCTTGTCAAACATATGTGCATCTCAACCTCACATTTCCATGCTTGTTTTCATGATGTCTTTGCTTGTGCTCAATTTATGTTCTTACATGCCATGCCACTCTCCTTTGTCAAACCATATGCTATGCTTGATGACAACACTTGTTGGGTGAATCACCTCTTGATCTTGGTTTTGCTTTAATGCCAACCACATTTGTTTTTCCAAGTGCTTGTTATCTTTGCTCCTTTTGAAGGAACTACAAGACGGTGCGACATTGGAGAGTGACCATTTCGAGCCTCCACATGACAAGTGCTTGCTGGTTGTCCACTTCTACACGGCGACACCATATCGTTACCATGGTGATGAAGATCATGATCCGTGGACGGATCTCTCCCAAGGGGGGGGGAGATGATGCGGATTATCCCTCGACCATCACCATGGACGTCACACCGCCACCGCAAGCACGGAGAGGACCGATGACAAGAGCAAACGCACGTGCCACCGAAACCGAGGTTGACTCCTTCCTCTTCAAATTCCATTCGAATTCACACGAGAATCGGGTTCTACCTCAATCGGAGATATATGGCACTCTCAGGTACCGAGGAGATGACCTGATGCGGAGCATCCTTCGACCATCACCATGGACGTCACACCGCCACCGCAAGCACGGAGAGGACCTACGACGAGAGCTCGCGCACGCGCCATCGGAACCGAGGTACTTGGGAGATCGTCACGAGGAACACGGAGGGAAACACCAAGTTCACCCGGAGACACAAGCACCTACGGTCGAGGAGAAGGAGGAGGAAGCAAGAAGAGAGAAGGAGGAGTGGCTCTGGACACTCCGGGTGCCCGGGCACGTTGGCCCGGAGGCCCGGCCCCTCCCTGGCGCAGCTCCAGACGGCCCCGGGTGCCTGGCCTCTCTTGGCCCAGCGCGGCCCAGGCCACCCCCGGGTGCCCGGCCAGCCACCAGGCCACAGGCCGCCGGCCCGGGTGCCCGCACCTTTGGCTCCGGGTGCCCGGCCTCTCCTTCTTGGGCGCCAGCAGGCCCCCCCCCCCGGGTGCCTGGCCCCCCTTCAGCCACCCCTCGGGCGGTGCCCCTGACCGGTCCGGGTGCCCGGCCGGTTTTACCCCGGGTGCCCGGACCCTTCCGTGGATGCCTGCGTGCATTAGGGTCATTTTCGACCTTTGTATCCCTCTCTCCCCCTAATTCGTCCCTAGCCTTTATAAACACCTCCCCTAGCTCTTTTGGAAGGATAGCAAAGTATATGAGAGATATTTGTGAGCTTTGCTCCATGGATCCACTCCACTAGGAGATCAAGACCTCCTCTTGGAGTGACCAAACTCAAGACCCCCTTGAGGGAAGGATCTACCTAGATCATCAAGCCCTCATCTCCTTCATAGGATTTGGGATGAACTCTACCACCTATCTTGTTTCCCTTTGATTGTTCATGTACCTTGTGGATCTTGTGTGTTTGTTGGTCTAGTGGATATGTGATTGAACTTGTTCTTGAGTGTTCCTCTTGTTTTCTCTCTTGTGTTCATCTTTGTTCTTGGGAATTCCCCCTCCAATTCGTGAAAGATCTCCACTTAGGGTTCCATCCTACAACACCTAGGTTATTTATCACTGGAGGGAGGCGACTATGGCGTAGGTGCTCACCATCCAAGCTTCTGGTCGCTGAGGCTGGCTTTCTGGCTGTTATGGCTGCGTTCCTAGGAGTTGCCCCGCCACCATGTTCGCGGTTTGGGTTGCCCACTTCTTGCACCGTCCAGTGTCTAGACGGCATGGTGAGAGAGCCTTCTGTTCTCCTCCGTCCAGTGCTCAATTTTGAATATGGTTTATGATTTTGACCGGGATAACGATTTTTCAAATTAATTAGCAGCAACCGGTCTATAAAAATGTATTATTACCCACGCACCCACCCATCACCTGAAAAAAAGCGGCACCATAAGATACTGTAGCTCCAATATAGTACATGCGGTCACCCCCGCTGAAATTTGCCAACATAAATATATGTTTGTTAGCAGATAATACAGAACCACACCACAAAAAGCCCATCAAATCACCGCATTATAAATAAAAGTAAAACACATTCCATCATCTTCCCCATCCGGTAAACTAAATAATCCATCAGTCCCAGAATATAAGGGGTATTAGTTTTTTGGAAAGTCAAATTTCTTTAACCTTGACCAAGTTCAAAGCAAAAAATATTGACATCCACAATATTAAACAAAAAATTATGAAAATTCATTTCACGATAAATCTAATCATACTGATTTGATATTTTGGATTTTGATATATTTCTCTACAAATTTGATTAAACTTAAAAAGTTTGATTTTTTGAAAAATAATAAACCTTATATTTTGAAACAGAGTGAGTAATTTTTTTAACAAACCCAACAACACCAAAGGCGCACCAAAGCGCGCCCACCCCTTCTAGTCTTCTATAACATTATGCTCCTTAATTTGTAAGGCCTCACGGTCAATTGAGGTCTTCAATTGAAATTGGGTCATCCGATTTTGACCGAGTTAATAATTTCTCAAAGCTCTCTCATTAAGTTATTTTATACTACACATTATGCTCCCTAGTGAGTTTGACCGAGCCAAAAATTTCTCAAAGCTTGCTCAGTCAATTATTTAATACTATATACTATGCTTCCTAATTTTCAAGCCCTCACAAAATAATTGAGGTCTTCAATTTAGAATGAGGTAATCCGATTTTGACCGGGTCAACAATTTCTTAACAAGCCCTCCCATTTAATTATTTTAATTCACTATGTTTTTTAATTTTAAAGCACTTTAATTCAATTGAGGTATTCAATTTTGAATTTGGTTTACGATTTTGGTCGGGCCAATGATTTTTCAAATCAATCAGCAGAAACCAGCCTATAAAAATATATCAACCTCGCGCACCCTCCCATCACTTAGAGAAAAGAAGTGCCACCATATGATACTATAACACCAATAAATATTGGTTGATAGCGGATAACACAGAATCTCGCCGCGAAATGTCCACCAAATATCTAATGGGAAGGAGCAGCAGTGATAGTACTCCGGAGGGGTCGTTCCCTCTCAATGGAGATCCTGTATGATTTGGAATTTTTGTATGGATCCAAAGGACTTAGTAAAGCTCAAAACAACGAATACACACATGATTTTTGTATATATATAGCTGAGTTTGGTAGTGGGTCAATTGCTATCAATAGTGCTAATTGAAGACTTTAACTCACTAATCGTGATAGAGAAAGCTACTATCTATTAGTTACTAGCATAAGTTTCACGCAAATATTAGTACTTGAACACTGCATATCTGGCGGTGTGGACAAAATGTGAAATCGAAATTTAGTACTAGCATATAGCTCATTGCAGAGGAGCACACGCTAGGACTCGTGTACGTGAAGTTGGTCTCTTTTTCTGCAACCGATCGATACATCTCTCTCTGCAACAAATGGAAGAATCAATTGATGGATTTGCTGCTGCTCCAACTCCACAACTTTTTCTAGTGACTTAACTTCCTTACAAACTGACTCGGTGTTCAATTCGTTGAAGAATTCCAGGGCACACCCAACACGACTCCACTCGGTGTACTAAACAAGTTTAGCACGAACCAAAAGAAAAGTGAAACTTACTAAGTATACAACTACGATGACAATGACAACGATAATAATACATGATACACATCCCAGTATCTTGTTTTGGATAAAAAATTAACCACATATGACATGCTGTGTAAAGCGTCAACCCCCTTTTTGTTGGCACCATACTACTGCATTGTGCCACTAGCTTCATCAACCGACACAAGCATCTGTACAAGATTTTCCATGGTGGGCCTTTTTCTACTGTCTTCTTCTAGGCATGAGACAGCCAACTTGACCATCGTTCTTGCTTGCAGTCTATCGAACTGGCCATTCAACCTCAAGTCAATGAAGTCAGGAAGCCACAAGTGTTGGCTTCCCTCCAGCATCATATTTTTTGTAAGCATCCTAACAACCGTTCCAAGGACCATTTCCACTTCCTCGCCGGCATTTGATGCCCAGTCTGAAACACGAGCCCCCATGAGTAGTTCTAGGAGAACCACTCCGAAGCTGTAGATGTCAACCTTTGATGTTATTGGCTGGCTAGAAACCCACTCGGGAGCAATATAACCTCTAGTTCCATGAATCCTTGATACATTTTTATTGGATCCACTTCTGTTCACAAGTTTTGCAAGGCCAAAGTCGCTGATCTTTGGCTCCAAGTTATCATCCAACAATATATTTTCAGGCTTGATGTCACAGTGGATAACCCACTCCAAGCACTCATGATGAAGATAGGCCAATCCTCTTGCCACCCCTAGAGCAATCTTAAATCTTTCACTCCATCCAAGTAACCTTTCACTACTAAACAAGGTTTTATCCAAAGAACCATTCTCAACGTACTCCAAAACCAATATTCTGTGTGGTCCATCAGAACAGAATCCCCAAACCCTCACCAAATTCATATGGTAAATCCTTCCAATCACACTCAGTTCATGCTGGAATTCTTCTTCCCCTTGGTGTATGTCTGCCAAAGTTTTCACTGCTACGGCCCTCTTGTCTTTCAAGACTCCCTTGTATACAAGACCAGATGCCCCACATCCAATTTGATCCTTGAACTTTTGAGTTGCTCTCTGCAACTCCTTGTAAGTATATCTGCGAAAATGGTTGGTTACCATTTCATAGCCAATCTCAGCTGGCCATACCCATTAACTTTTTCCCTTCCCTTATGAACAAAAACCAGCATCCTAGTGCCACAAATATTAACTCCACACAAAATATCGCTAACAAGAACCCATACGCCAAGAACAGGTACTGTGAGTGTGATCCATTTTGACTGCTTTTAGGTTGATCCCAAAAGTTTTCTGTGAAATTTTTGCTCTTTACACTACAATTAGGAACATATTTAGGACCAAAAGGTTGCGAGTGAGGAATTGAGGACCTTGGGACCTGTAGCGTCTTAGGAATCTTGAGATGGATAGAACCACCAACAATACTTGGCCCGGTTACACCCCCAACAAGGGTCCCCTTTGGATAGCAAAGCCCGGTTCCTTGCCAGTATGCAAAACCTTTGCAATTGCAGTCCTTCAAGCATATCTTCTTGCATTCATCAAATGAAACTATGGTATTCAATCTAAGATCATTACCATGGAAGTCGGTGGCGGGTAGCTTTAGAAACATCTCCTGTCCATCACAACTGAGATTAAATTTTGGTCTGCAACCTTGGCTCCGGTCACTGGGGTCGATTATCTCATGTCCAGGGGCACAAGCACAAGCAGGCTGGGGAGTGTACACACATATTCCATTAATGCCACACAAACCAAGAACAGAGCAGGTCTGTTGATATGCCATCCACGTGACCGACCATGTTCCATCTATCTTATTTAGACTGTATAATCTAAGGTTGCCATCATAATCCAACGTTAGTCTCCTCATAACCCCATGACCCCAATCAACAGCCTTAAGAGTTAAGTTGTCACTACCAAGAAAATACCCCGAGCTATCAAGGACTCCAATTGCGTTAGTACTAAAGGCATTTCTTTTCTTTGTCCATATATCATTACTAGGAATTGGCCAATATTTTAAAGAGATATCCTTCTCATCATCAAACAGTGTGAGTATATGTTCATCATCAAAATGGAAGCTGTAGCGGCCAGGGACAAGTAGCCTACTAGCAGATACCAACTTTGCAGCACTAGTAATGTTCTGATAGGGCAGCAATGTGTCGGTAGGAGAATGGAAACTTTGCCACAGAATGATATCACCTTGGCCTTTGACGACGAGGTTCCCAGTGTCGAGCAGCTGAGCTTGCTGGGCACTCGAAGAAGACGACACATTGTTCTCCCAGACGGGGCGGCCATCGTAGTCTTCTACGGCCATCCGGCCATCCGCATCTAGCGTGACTCGGGATCGCTTGAAGTAAACGGGGTGGAGATGATTCGCGCTCCAGACCACCGTTCTTTCAGCCGTGTTGGAGTACCAAATGGAGAAGATGGAGGCAGTTTGAGAAATGTTGTTGAAGCCGCAGGTGAAAGTACCATCCGGTGAGCGGAGGACGTCGGAGCTATCCTCTACGGACATAGAGGAGCCCGGCGAGAGGAATTCGCGAGCGGAGACGCGAAGAAAGAGAAGGACCAAGGTAAGTAGTAGGAGCAGAGGGGTGGAGCGTCCATCCATGTTTGGTGAGGCACTGATGAAGAGTTGATCTCTGGAATGGTCACAAATGGGGGATATTATAGGAACCATTTGGTCAGTCGTCGCTATTGCATTTGGAAGATGGTTGTGCCTTCACTTTCATAGTCGTCTCTTTGTGCTGCAAATTGTTTGTCCTGTGCACCAGTCTCCAGCTAACTACTTTCGCCTAGCTGTGCAAAGATGGTGACTGAAATCATTGGCCCGTTGACGGGGGACGACTCTGGTAGTGCATGTAGTTTCCTTCGGACAGCGCACGAGCAGGCAGAACCGCAGAACCAACACGTCGCAGCATGCCGAATAATCCCTGGCACCACTATCAAGTCGACGCAAAGACATGAAGAGGAAGCCGTTCGCCTAGCTACATGACGACAAAGGTTCGTGTTTTTTTTTTTACAAATTCGCAAAAGTATTTAAATCTGCAAAGCTTTCTAAAATCCGCGAACATTTGTGGGCTTCGTGACCATTTACCAGATTCAAAAGTACTTTTTGAATTCACAAACATTTTTTCACTTCGTGAACTCTTTTCTTCAATTGACTAACCTTTTTTTACTCCCTTCATCCGAAAACATTTGTCGTAGAAATGGATGTATCTAGATGTATTTTAATTCTACATACATCAATTTTTATCCATTTATGTGACAAGTAATTCCATACAGAGGGAGTATTAGTGAAATTTTATTACTCCCTCTGTACCGAAATGTAAGTCATTTAAGCATTCGATGTGCAAATTTCGGTATGCTACGAATATTTTCCACATTCCCGAAATGCCCTCTCGTTCGTTCACCACCGCTCTCACCCACTCGAGCTCACTCTCTCTCATTCCCCTCTCACCCACCCCCTCTCGCTCCCCTCCAGATTCCCATCGTCGCCAGCCTCTCCTCGCCTCCCCTTCTCCCCACTACCGCGCGCTCCGTTTCCTCCGACCGCGCACGCCACACCATAGGTCAAAAGCTTGCTTTTTTAGGCGCCGTCGACGAGCTTCTGGGCGGCGGAGGATGGATCCGCGTGCGCCGACACTGGATCTGTGCGTGTCGACGCCGGCTTCACAGCAGAGCGGCACCGTCGCAGAAGAGCAGGGCCATAGTAGCGCCGCCCTCCTCCACGACCACGCAGCCGCATCGGCAGTGGACTCGAATCCCTAGCCAGCGAGCTCAGGCAGCCATGGATCCATGGTGACGAACCTTCCTCTTCTCTCTGTAGCTGACCCACCCCGTCTGTTCTCCCTCCCTCTCTGCCCCGTGTCTCCATGACTAGGTCGACGCCAGGGAAGAGCCACCAACAGCAACAACTAAGATATGGACATGTAGGCCACTGCCCTCTACAAGGAGGAAGACCACTGCTTCTCTGACTCTGCTTCTTCCTTGGTCGCCATGGAAGGTACTCCCATGTTATGCTCTGCGATGCTCCATGTTATTCTTGCTGCAACTTACTGGTGCACAATTCATTCAAGATAAAACTGCAGAAATCTCAAACTTTAGCATGGACTGAATAATACTGGTGAATAATGTAGTTAAGGATTTTGTTAGGATTGTTACTACTCCTAAGATCATTCATGGACTGAATAATTCAGTCAAATACAGCTAAGTTATCCAGTCAAATTCAGATGTCCCTTCAGTTTGCATCATTCATAGACTGAATAATTTTGGAGTAGCTTGCTTAAATGAATGCTTGAGCTGGAGTAGACTGATGCTGTTAATGAATGCTTGTTTATCTTACTGCAACTATTAATTTGCATATGAAAAGCTACTCCTCTTGTGCCCTCCATATTCTTTGAAACTACTGAAATGAATGAAGGCATATGAAGCTACTACTAATGGAGTATTGTTATATTGTTTGAAGCTACTGCTAATGAAGTACTATTTTGAGGCAACTACATATTGTTTGAAACTATTAAGCTGGAGTACTGTTAATGATGCATATGAAGCTACTGCTAATGGAGTAACTTAAAAGCATGGAGTGATTTCTGTAGTTTTGTTAAAGCATGGAGTAGTTTCTCTAGTTTTGTTAAAGCCTGGATATTGAACTTTCCTTGTGGATGAAGAGCCCAGCGTCCATCCACATCCCCGGCGGAGCCACCTGCAGAGAACGGAGCAGTTGGTCTCCTACCGGCCAGGCGTGGCAGTGCGGGTTAGTTGAAGGGTGGTGCGGGCGAGGCAAGGGGCAAGCGACTTCCTGTGCGTATCTTGAACTGGCAGGGAGCTGGCGGCATAGGGCTCCGCACTCCTCCCGCCGAGCACCGAGAGGGCGGGAAGGAGGAGATGACGCGACGACGCGAGGGTGAGCGGACGTGATGGCGCGAGGGTGAGCGGTGGCGGCGGCTCGGCAGGGAGCGTGCGAGCACGGGTCGCAAAGGAGATCGAGGAGAGGGAGAGGAGGAGCTGGGGCGGCTGCAACCCAAACCGTCTCACCGATTGGGAGAGGTGCAGCAGAACATGAAAAGACAAAAATGCCCTTGACAGTGCATGAAATTACAGGCGGTGGCAGGAGATCTTTACGCTGGAGAGGGACTATTCATTGCAATAGTAACCGGTTTCGATTCGACCGCTGTGATCTTCCAGGAGCGAGATCGGACGGACATAATCGCATCAAAGAAATGATCCGAAGGCCAAGAGTCGCAAAACCCTGAGAGAGCTCGGGGGCTGCCTTGGTTCTTATTTCTGGATATTTTTTGATAAATGATTGCATCTCATTTGTCCTCTACACACGTAGGGCTATACAGATGACATCTCATTTGTCCTCTACACTTGCATGATTGCATTGTTGCACATTTGCATATTTTGTCATAAGCTTGACCCACCTACCGATGTGTGTACGTACGTACGTACTTTGAGCTCGTCCAGTGGCGGAGCTAGATGCAGATTATGCCTAGGACTGTGCTATGTTAAATGATAAACTTCTATGATTTTCTATGTTTTGCATGAAGAAATTATAAAGAAAGTTGTTTCTAGGCTGGGGCTATAGCCCTAGCTGCTCCAGGCCTGTCTCCCCCACTGAGCTCGTCAACCTCCCAGCAGCAGCTCGTCGCCCACCGTTGGGTTGTCCCTGTCTGAGATGGACAGGCTTGCTGCCGCATGTCTACTTGCACGTAGTCCGATCAAAAACTAATCTTGGTAGGCACGTAGTCCGGTCAAAAACTAATCTTGATAGTGTCAGTTGCTTCCACGCAGGCGCAGCGGCTAGCTACGCACATGCATGACGCATACAAATGCACATCATGAACACATATATATAGTTCTTCGCAAACGGCATCTCTAAGGCCGTGCCCCAAATTGGACTTATTATTTGACGCGTCTATAGACACGAATAAGAAAGCCGGAGATCCAGCCGTATGCTTGAAATGTTGGTGCACATTTTAAACTTAAATCCAACAAACCGGGTGAATTTGATGCAAACACAACCATTTTCATGCAAACCAACCAGGCCTAATTCATGCCAAGTTCGACATACTACAATTAAATTGGACAAGTTCAATTAAAATTGAAATAAACCTAGAGAAAAACTATGCAAGATATTGGACCGTAACATCGTACACAACCTCCTGGGGACCTTATTAACACCTAACCATGTAGCATGCCAAAAAAAGTTCAGGACATTTATGCGTTGATCTCCAATTATTCCAAGGGTCACTACATTCCAGATATAATACGCCAGCAAGAACTACCGAGGCAACTTCATGACGATTGGCGAGGAGCCCCATGTAGAAGAATAATAAGGTAGAGCCTACACGGGT